GAGGCGCGCGCTCTGCCCCTCGACAGGCAAGGGTGACACGAGCAACTGCTGGGTCTGGTGGATGGTATCCTCCTTGAGCTGCTGCATCTTGTCACGGCCAAGAAAATAAGGATCCTGGGCCGCCTGTCGAAGCCTCGCAGAGGCCCCAATCGTTTCGGACAAGTGCTGAGCAAGCCAGATCCATCCGCATCTCTGACCACGAGCACTGAGAGCCTTGGGTTTAATCAAAATCGGTGCCCAACCAGATTTTAGAAGATCCCCTTTGCGCCCCTTGATTTAAACCGCCACCCCGGTGCAGGCCTCGAGCTCGAGCTCGAGCTGGTTCGCGGAAAACTTCCAGGCAACAGTGGGCATTTCCCAAGCCTCGCCGACTGGGGAAGACAATGCAGCGGCCGCAGCGTCCTGAGCTACAACGCGACTGAGGGTCCCGCCCCGAGGCCTGGGGGCGGGGCCGAACGGGAGCTCAGTCGGGAGCATCTGATGCGACCGATGCGTCGGCTGATAGCACCTCGCATCATCGGGGCGGAGGGTGATCGAAACGGGGCGGCCGGGGCGGTGAAACCAGGAAGTGCCCGCCGCAACAAGGCAGTGCTGGCCAGAAAGAAGTCCATCGTAGCGGGGCTCCCAGGGGACAAGCAAGTTTTCGTGTTGGGCACGAAAAAAAGCCCTTCAACCATCCGAGCTCTGAGCTAAACCAGTCGCGCCCACTCGGCTGGGGTCGAGGTTCCAATCGCCACCAACAACGTGCACATGTTCCCCCTCAAGTCGCTCGCCAATCCTACGGGGGAGGGCGAGGCTGAGAGCGCAAAGCCCCGTCCCTGACCCGAGGTGGCAGGATATGACATTGACTGAGGGCCAGCCTGGGAGATCAACGATCGCGTGAATCGCACGTCCTGGCGCGATTACTCCTGGAACATCCGGCGGTCAACGCGGGCCGTCAAGCGCGCGAACGAAAACCGCAACTCCCGCTTTAAACGCACCCCGCGCCCCAGGGATGGAGGGGGGGCAAAGCGTTTTCCACCCGGGCCCAGCCGCCGAGGCGGCTCTGCCCCCCTCGCGGTCCTCCAGGGCGCTTATGTCCTGCGCCGGGGGCAAGAAGGCCGTCGTCGAGCAGAACCGCTCTCTCAGCGTCGGCCAGCTGTTGCCGCTGTAGGACGGACTCAACGCGTTCGCCCGAGACACAGGGCGGAGGCGAGCGGGCGACGGAGTCGGGGGGCGGGGGGAGGGGGCGGAGGTGGAGCAGGAACTCTGAATTGAGACAAACGTAGGCCGCATCAGAGGGGTAGGCTAGCACTGCCCACTGCGCGGCTTCTTGACGAGCCTGCTACCGAACAGCTCGATAAAAGGCGCGCTTGTCGACACGGATGGCAGCCTGGAAGGTCTCCTCAACAATGTCATCGTCGAGGCTCATGTCGCTGCTGACTGAAGCCTGGCGCTGGGAGATGCACATCACTTTCTTCGGGAACGCCAGGGAGAGACCCCAGCGCCACTGTTCGTGACAGGTGACGGTGTCGGTGACTCAGATGATCGCTTCGCCACCTTCGCCTGCTGGGTAGCTGCCAGCAGTGTTTGGAACTTATGGAATGCCCCCGTCTGGAGCATCGAACCCAGCTCGAGGTCAATGCATGGGATCCCAGGTAACGTGCGTACGAGCTCGCGGTTGAGGACTTCGATCTCGCGCTCAGTGGCAACAGCCATAGCCCGCATGCCGACAATCGTGTCGTGAGCAGCTGCAATAATATCAAACTGCTCCTGAAGTTGCTCTTCCAGCCGTTGCTTCTTGCTGGTCGCATGAGCCAAACAGTGTCCCACATTCGCGTGTTGAGTAAGTCGTGGCTTGCACGCAACGAGTTCTCCACGTGCTGCTAGCAACTTCGCTTCCAACACTGCCTTAGCACCCTTGCCTGAGTCGCCCAGCTTGTCACAATGACTGGTGGCCACCTCAAGATGCTTGATGATGTCACGCATGTCATTCTCTTTCTGGCCGTTGGGGTCAGCAGGAGGCTTGCCAGCGTCGCCACCGCCCTCATCAGAAACCAACTTGCCACACTTACGTTGTAGCTCCTCAATACGCTGTGCCAAGTTATCTTCGCGCTTGCTCCCAGGGGCAGGCCCACGAGGCTACCGATTCTAAGATCCACGCGCGTTCTGCTCTGCTGCACGTCGTACTTCATGAGGGGCGGTGTTTCCACAGTTGCACACAACTCTGGAAACCCAGTTCGTGTTACGTCCGCATGTACACGCCCATGTTGGCACCCTTGGTCCAGGAAGAACCTCGACGCCGCCATTGGCCATGAGGAGTGCCCCGCAGGGTTCGTAGTCTTCCTCCAGCAAGAGCTCACCGAAAGCAAGAACCACAATGACCCGCAACAGCACCTGGCCGTTCTGAAGAGGCATGCTGCTGCAAGCACGGGCGCCACGCCTGTGCCAGAACGGCTTGAGCCAAAATGGCTACGGGGAAAAGGGAGCCGGGCGTGAGATGGTGGCGGGAGGAGGAGAGGGTGGACGGTGGAAGAGAGGGAGCCCCGCCTCCTCTGCCCGCTCCCCCATCACGGGCGCGACATCCGCCCCGATGTGCGCCCCGCCCCCCGCCCACCAAGCGACCGACGCGCCGCACTCTGTGCGGCCACGCAGCCCAGCGGCGGGGACCCCGCGCTGACCTCGCCAGGCGAAGCCAGGACCAGGACAACATCGGACCGCGATAAGTCGGGGATCTCCGAGGTCCGGCGGCTCTGCAGGACGTATCTCAGGGGTTCCCAAAGGGTGCGGTGACAGACCGTGCGGTGGCCCCGAAATCCCAAAAGACCTCACCGCATGCTCCGTCAACGCGCGGTTTTGGTACCTTGGAAGCCCCAGTTGCACGAGACATCTTCGGAGAGCGACCAAAGTCCCCAAACCGCGCGGTACCCCCGAATCCCCACTGACTCTCCACACGGTGTGGTCACTGCACCGCTTGGAGGCCCCCGAGTCTCAGGCGCTGCGGCCGTTCCAGAGCGCTCCTGAGCGCCCTGAGGGCGTTCCCGAGCGCTCTGGAAGGATATACTCATACGATCACCCTTCGGGTGATAAGGAGGTTGTGGGGGAGGAGAGGGGGGGAACCATCATCTGACTCAATCGATCTCACTATCGATCTCACTCAACGGGACACCACGGGACACTTGTCGATCTCACTATCGATCTCATTATCGATCATCACATTCAACGGGACACCACGGGTCACCACGGGCCACCACGGGACACCACGGGACACCACGGGACACCGCGGGACACCTCTCGATCTCACGATCGGTCTCACTATCGATCTCACTATCGATCTCACTCAACGGGACACCATAGGACACCACGGGACACCATTGGACACCACGGGACACCTCGGGACACCACATCGATCTCCAAATCGATCTCCCTATCGATCTCACGATCGATCTCGCTATCGATCTCACTCAACGGGACACCACAAAACACCGCGGGACACCACGGGATACTTGTCGATCTCACTGTCGATCTCACTATCGATCTCACTATCGATCTCACTTTTTGGGGCACCACGGGACACCTCGGGATACCACATCGATCTCAGTATCGATGTCACTCGGGGATGGACAGACCCCCTTTGATAAAACGTGGTTCAGTGAAAACGACCTGAGGCCCAAACCTGGCGGGCGCAAGCCTGGAAAATAACGGCCACGGCGCCCTCTCGAGAACCGAAAACGGACAATTCACTAATCGACGTGTCACTGTTGGGGGTTCTGTCCACCCCCGAATCACTGTCGATCTCACTATCGATCTCACTCAACGGGACACCACAGGACACCACGGGACACCACGGGACACCTGCCGATCTCACGATCGATCTCCCTATCGATCTCACTTTTTGGGACACCACGGGAAACCACAGGACACCTCGGGGCACCACATCGATCTCAGTATCGATCTCACTCAACGGGACACCACAGGACACCACGGGACACCAGCGGGACACTGGCGGGACACCGCGCGGCACCGGCCGCAGGAGGAGAAACATTTGGCCCAGCCGCGGCCCAGCCACAGGAGGATTTCGGGACACCCGCGGGACACCGGCGGGACACCGCGCGGCACCGGCCGCCGGAGGAGGTACATGTAGTCCGGCCGCGGCCCAGCCACAGGAGGATTTCCTCTCGCCCGCCCACGCAACTTCGCCTCGCCCGCACTCACGCATGGCACGCACGACACGAACTCGAAACCGAAATCGATTTCCTGGTAGGGGGGGTCTCAGTTTCACGTCGGACCCACCCCCATCCTCCGATCTCGGTCCCAGCCCCACCCGACCTCGCGAGCGCGGACTCGGCTGGGGGGCCCAGAGGGGTCACACCGCGCCGCGGATGCATCGGCGGTACGCCGCCGCCGCCAAGGTATGGAGAAGATCCTGATCGAGGCATCGGCGACGCTGGCCTCGCGGGAGGACCGCCACTGCGGACTTGGACGGCCCGTTCGGAGGGCAGTGGTACGCACACCAGTCGGCCACACGCAAGAGTGACCCTAGGCAAGAGTGCCCTCTGGTGCGCAGCTTGCGGATCGCTGCACGCGGTGCGAAAGTAGCGGCCTGTGTGCCTGGGCTTGGCGCCCCCGCGCCCCTCCCGCCGAAAGACTCGCACCAAAGGTCACTCTGGCGGAGGGTCATTCGAGATCTGGATTATATCTGAGCTCCGCGGAGGCCGCTCGGGACAGTTCGGGCCCCCACCCGAACGCTCTGGGCGAGGCGCAACTGCTGAACCGCACCCCAGAGGCAGGAAACCTCTGGGAACCAAAAAGAAAAAGCATCCGGCAACGCACGCCCTCGCACCAAAGGCCACTCTGGCGAAGGGCCACTCTTACGCGTAGCCGACCACCACTGTGCGAGGAAGAAGCAATCACAGCATAAACGTACAAGGACTCCGCGGCGATGCAAGAAACCCGCGCGGACCTCCGAATATGCATGTTCAGAATCTGTCTTTCTTCTTCGAGTGCGGGCGGGGCCCAGCCTGTGCCGCTGCGCTTGTTCTTGTCCAGCCGAATCTGCCGGCGGGAGGCAGCGGGGCGCCCGTCGCGCGCGCGAGCGGCGCGGGGATGCGCGGCCGCCGGCCCAGGCGCAGGGACGCCGCGCGCCGCCACGCGCCCGTCGAAATCCTTCCCACATCGCTGGTTCTCGAAGCGTTTCAAGATAGATTACTTCACACACATATGACAAACCACGTGCTTTTAAAACAGAAACTGCGTAGCTTCTTGAGTTTCTGCGCGCGCGCCCTTCCTCACCATCACCCGCATCAACGCCATCGCATCACCACCGTCATCGTCATCGCCAAGCGCCGCCATTGCCGCCATCATCAGTCAATCACCTTGATCACTGGCACACGGACATCATCATCGTCATCGTCGTCACCAAAATAGGCGCCGTCATTGGCCGTGCCGCCGTCACCGCCATCATCGCCACCACCACTGCTACTATCATCATTTTTGTGGCCGGTGTTGGCGCCATCAGGGTGTTGCGCCCGCCCGAATCACCGGCCCGCACTGAAGTGCCCGCGCGCCAGCGCGGCCTGTCAGACGCGCTGGGAATACGCCATGGGAAAGCGCCGTCGCAGCCCCATCAGCTTTGCCAACTGGCCGTTCTGGGCGCGAGCTTGCGCGCCCCAGCGCGGCGGCAGAGGTACGCTACACAAGGTCAAGCAGTCACCGCAATCGCGGCCACATGGGTTGCGCAAAACAAACTGCGAGTGGGAGGGTGGGATGATTGCGCGAGCAGTGGAGTTGAAGAATTAGGAGTTGGCAAAACTTGACTGGATCACGTAGCTTACACCACCTAGCTTGCATCACATAACTTGCACCACATAACTTGCACCACATAACTTGCACCAGACAGCTTGCACCACGTATATTGTGCCAAATCGCTTGCACCGCATATCTTGCACCACATAGCTTGCACGGCATATCTTACACCGCATAGCTTGCACCACGTAGGTTGCACCACACAACGTGCTCCGCGTAGATAGAACTGCATGGCTTGCAACACATAGCCTGCACATCCACAGTGCAATACCTTACTGTTTTGGGTCCACGCTGGCAAACATTGATTCTTGCAATATTGCTTGCGCAACCTCCCTAATCCCCCGTTGGGCTACTCTGCATCCACCGACCATTTCCGAATCAAGCATTTTTGGCCCACGCCACAGTGGTCCCCAAACAATCCAAGACAACTCCAAGTCGGCGCCACGCGGCCCCAAACGGGTTTCAAGACGATCTGAAGAGACGGCCTGAAGAGCGCCTTAAGGCGGCCCCAGACGACGAAAGGAGCCCCACGAGCCCTCCAAGACGACACCATACGCTCCAAAAGGGCACCCACACTGCCAACATAGTTGAAGCATGTGATCCCAGCAAGCGCCCTAATAGCATAGTGCCGATGTTTCCAAGGGGATCTCGTAAGCTCAAATGTTTTTGCTGTAATTGGGCCAACTGGGGCCGCTGGTGCCCTCTCTCCGGGCCATCATGGGCCGCCTGTAGACCATCTTTGGGTCTCATGGGCCGATGGGCAATGCGAGAGTGTCTTGGGTTTTCTTGGGGCCCGACCTCTTGGGGCTTCTTGGTTCCACCTTGCAGTCCTTTTTTCAATGCCCATTTGGGATGATCTTGAGGGTGTCTGGGGAATCTCGGGGTCGTCTTGGGCTGTCTTGTAGCTACTGTTACTGGTATGTATTTTCCTCTCCGCGCGCAGGATAAAGTAACATCGAACTGGACAAGCCATCAACAAGGCGTTACCAGAAACGTTCATCCCCATAACTCCAGACAACGACAACAATGAATGTTCAAGCAGGAAAAGGGCCACAATGTGGAGTCGTGTAGGTGTTGTGAATTGACAGCGAAGATAACATCATCCTTGTTCCACGAGAGACCATGCACCTGGTCAACGCAACATGCTCGCAATCATAACATAGACGCCCGCTACACGGGCGATAAACTCCATCATATCTGCAATCCCCAATATGGCTTGCCCTGTATAAAGCTAAGCCGTTGAAGGCTGAATCGACAGGGATAAACGCTTCGCCCGAAGGTTTCATGGCCTCCTCTACACAAGAGAAGTATCGCGTTTCAGTGCATGTGACTGGTTCCGTAGCCCAGCAATTTGGAGACGTTTGATTGCACCTCACAGCCCACCAGTCATAATAGTCATTGGAAGCAAATGCAACGCCGTCCCATTTGTTTCTATTCGATGGCGCCAGGGCGTTAGTGATGGCGCCAAAGGTAAGGTTATCCCACTGGACAATGTCGTCCAAGTCTGCTGGCATCAAATAATCACTGCCCATTTCAAGCCCCTTCTCAAGAATAAGATTACGAAGCTGAGCATACTTGATGGTGCGCTTAAGGTTGCATGTTCCAGGGACCTTCAAGGAAGGTAGCTGCTGAATAAACTTTAGCTTAGTCACATTTGTTTCCAAATCTGCCTTCAATACTGGGTCTATGCGACTGATCAAAACCCTGACGTGACAAGACCCCTCGTCAAACCAGTCGCAAAGGCCGACCAACTTTTTCAGGCGGGTGACATCGTCGAATGCGAAATCTCTGACCATGCCAAGCACAACAAGGCTAGCATCATGAACGCGAATCGGAGAATCAGCCATAGCCTTCCCCCTTTGCTGCTTCAATGAGGGCATCTGCCATATTGGCTTGAAATCATGGGGGAACGTGTCTTCCGCAACGCCCATGTGTTCGTTACGATGTGGAAACACCTGTGCGTCCAGGTTGTCACCCTGTGCGTACACCACCGGCGACATACTCAAACACGATGCACATTGTGCACATACATACAAAACCACTACTACAAACATTGATGCGGGGAACCTGGTGAAAAGAGAATGTGATGCAACGTGTCGATGGCAAGATCCGTTATGGCTTGTGCCATGCCGCCCTGAACCACATCACTTTGAGCCAAAAAGGCTACGATCATCGCTCTACCCTAAAGAATACGGCATAAAGAACGAAAGGGCTTTTGTCTGGTAACGGGGAACCTCGGCCACGAATGGGTTCCACGGCCTAAGTCTGAGGATCGGCTCGAAATCCAGGAGCCCAAGATGGTCCATGCTACAACGTCTTGAGTTTACGGGGTCGTCACAGAATTCTTCGAACTGTCTTGGGAGGCCAGCTGGGCACGAACCGCGCGAGCCGTGCGCCGATCTGGGGCGCTCGAGGGCCAGACAGGGTACCAAGTCCATGACAGGTGTGCCGCACAGCGGCGCCCTGGAGCCGCCTTGAAGGCCCACTGAAGGCCTCTGGGGACCCCCTGGGCACGAACAGGGTGATCGAATGTGTGTCTCCTTGGGGCCGTCTTGGAGGCAAAAGCTGAGGGCCCCTGTTTGGGGCCATGAGGCACGACGTGCGTCAGGGGAATGTCGAAGTGGGGCTCCCTGGAGCCGCCTTGGAGGCCAAAGAGGAGCATTTGGAAGCCCATGGGACACGATGTGCGAGAGGTCTGTGCGTGTGTGTGCGCGCGCGCTCGCGTGTGCGCGCGTGTGTGTGTGTGTGTGTTTTTGTGTGTGTAGGTGTGTGTGTGTGTGTGTGGGGCGTGCGTGTACGTGTACGTGTACGTGTACGTGTACGTGTACGTGTACGTGTACGTGTACGTGTACGTGTACGTGTACGTGTACGTGTATGTGTACGTGTGCGTGTGCGTGTGCGTGTGCGTGTGCGTGTGCGTGTGCGTGTGCGTGTGCGTGCGCGGGCGTGTGTGTGTGTGTGTGTGTGTGTGTGTGTGTGTGTGTGTGCGTGCGTGCGTGCGTGCGTGCGTGCGTGCGTGTGCGTGTGTGTATGAGAAAGAGAGAGAGGGAGAGAGAGAGAGAGAGAAAAAAAAAAAAAGACAACATGTGTGCTGGGAGTTCGACTAAGCGTACCCTGGCTTAATACTCGCGACGGTGCCGCCACCTTGCCGCTGTAGGCAACGTGTGTGTGTGCGTGCGCGTACGAATGTGCCAACTTCTCCACGCTGCTTGAGCTGGCCTGGCTCGCGCTCTCCCGCTTGACTTGCTCTACGCCGCGCCGCCGTGGCCGCGACGCCCAATGTATGTATGTACGTATGTACGAATGGATGTATGTATGAATAAAGATTCAAACTGAGTATGTGTGTGCGTGCGTGTGTGTCTGTTTGTGTGTGTGTGTGTGTGTCTGCGAATGTGTCTGCCTCGCCCTGGTTTCCCCCTGTGGGTGCCGTCCAGCCTCGGCGCGTCAAGTTCTGCCTTTCCGCCCTGCTTTTCGGTGCCCTAGCCTTCGACGACGCTCCATCGCGATGGTCACCCGCCGCCACCTCACTGGCGCCTCCGTGTTTGACTACGGCAACTTCCTGGCGCTGATGCGCTTCTCCCGCGACCGCTCCTTCGCTGGCACTTGCGTGGCGTGCCATCCGCCCACCCTGACGGTCGCCCGCTTTGCAGCCGCCGACCCCGTCTGCTGCTCCCGCAAGCCGCCTGTTTGGCGGCCTGCCCTGTCTCTCTCCGCCCGCGGCCCCGCTGCTGCCCCCCTTGCCTGCCACTGCCCCGTGAGGCCCGACGGAATGTCTTTCTTCGTTAGCTGGCGCGCGCGCACGCCCGCGGGACTTCCAGACGCCCAGCGGCTTGGCCTGGGCTGCGACGCTCAAAGTGTGTGCATGTGTGTGTGTGCGTGTGCGTGTTAGTGTGTGTATGTGTGTTCGTGCGTCCGTGTGTGTGTGTGTGTGTGTGTGCGTGCGTGTGTGTGTGTGTGGGTGTTTGTGTGTGTGTGTGTGTTTGGGTGTGCGCGCGCGTATGTGTGTGTGTGTGTGTGTGTGCGTGTGTGTGTGTGTGTGCGTGTGTGTGACAAGTTGTGTGGGTGACAAGTTTGGACTGGGTTAACTGGAATCGTGTTCGTGGCAATCTGAAAATTTCTGGTATGTCAAATAACGTAAAATGCGTGGGAGGTGTTATAGGTAGGGCATCCGCCAGAGACCTCTGGCAACCCATGACGCACGTAGAGTATGCGGGTGTACTGGTTCGGACCCAGGACTCGCCATTGTCTGG